ATGTTAAAGGTGGGTTGAGGTGGGGTCGCTTGTTCTCTCCTCACATTTTTTTTGCTATTGGTTTTTTATTTGTATTTATTTTTTTTTTTTTTAATTAAGAGAGCATGAAAAATTGTATTCATGTATTCCAATATGTTTTTGTTTTTGTTTTTGTTTTGTGCATTCAGAATTTTCTTCTTCAATTTTCTTTACTTTCAATCTTTTCGCTTTTTCCCCCTACCAATGAGAACCCATGAGTTCTTTTTTTATACTGCACTCATATTTGATTTAATTATGTTGATCTGTTGATTTGACCGTCAAATGTTATTCTGAGATTAGAATTTTGATTTTTCGTATTTTCATAATTCCAAAATTTTATTTATTTAACTTAAAAGCATTTCATTTTCTATACACATTTCACTGTTCATGTGTATTTTATGTGTATTTATTTATTTATTTCGTTTTATTAATTTATGTACGCATTTTATCATATATCGTATATATGTGCTTATTAAAAATTATTTATAAATTTTTCAATTTATTTATAAATTTCGGTTTCTGCTTGACGCATTTCAATTTGACTTCTATCGGAAATGTGGCGATGATTTTGTTTATATTTTATTAACCATTTAATATATTTTGATGCTGTATCTCGAAATAACTAGTTAATTAGTTCAATAAATATTGTGCGTTATTTTTCTTTTAACCGCCTTGGGAAGGCGTTTTTGCTGACTAACTAACACTTTACATTTTTAATGGTTTCCCACTTTTCGCTATTAAAAACTAAATATTTATTTAATAATTATATCAAGATTTAATGAAGTGTTACACAATACAGTTCTCTAATAAAAAAAAGAAATATATTTTATTAACATTTTTTAAGTTTTTAATTGATATAATATTTAATATTATTTTTACTTGAGTTAAATAAGTTTGAATTAGTTATATAAATTTTTTAAATTTTTATATGAAATATTTTGAACTTTATATTTTTAATCATTTTCAGCAGTTATAATAGTTTTTCTTTTAAGCAATTTTTTATTAATTTAAATAAATTTAAGTTATACAAATTTTTTTATTTGTACTAAATAATATCAATTATATTTTTTATTCATTTTAATTAAGCCAAATATTTTGAAATTATTTTTTTATTTTTTTTTTGTATGTAATGTGTTTAAATAAATGTAAGTTATATAAATTTTTTCAATTATTATTTATTATAATAGTCTTTTTTCATTTTTACTAAATAATATCAATTACATTTTATATTAGTTTTAATTAAGCCAAATATTTTGAAATTATTTTTTATTTTTTTTTTTGTGTATATAATGTTTAATATTTTAATTAAATTTTATTATATCAAATATATTTAAATTAACTTCAAATTATTTATATGTAAATTTGCTGTTATTACACACTCCAACTCTCTTAGTAAAATCCCGTGTGAATATATTAACCCAAAAGCGCAACAGTTAATTTTACATCACACACACACCAACACACATTCAACGAAGCTTATATTGGTGTGCGTATGTGTTGGGAAATTTTAAATTATAACTGAAATTTTGTTATTTTCTTTTTAAATTACACAAACCTTTTTTCTTTAATTATTTTATTTAACTTTTTTGTAATATACATATGAATTTTCCCTAAAAATTGTCAATATCACTTATTTAATACAGTTTTCAAAGTTTTTTTTATTTTGTTTTTTGTGTAATTAATTAAAACGCCTCACTGAACACGCACACCCGGTTTACATGACCGTTAAAAGGCAACTGAATTTCTGATTTTCTGATTAAGCATGTTAGTAGAAAAGTATTCTGTTTCAAAAGAGAGCAGCAACAACTTAGCAGCGCTACGTTGAGTTAACAGATGTACACATCATGTAAAAATGTTAAAATTTCCCGGAAATTGTGTGTAACAAACGGAAATGTCAATGTATGGTTTGTGTCTAAAATAGTGTCGTTTTAAAATTTATTAATATATTTTATTAAATTATTATAACAACCAATATTCAATACGTTAATTAAAATTATTACTAGGCTTAAGTTATAATTTAAAATAATATATTTTACTGTATATTTTTTAAGCAAGTTTTTTAATTAAGCACAACTAAAAGCATAATAATTGATAAAAACCTTGAAAAATCAAGTCAGTCAAACATTTTATTTTGTAAAATATCCTACAAGAGATGTAAATGTAATTAAATTAAATAAGATATAAATAGAAGAGATTGCGATTCTTCAGTACATCTGAATTTTAGGCCAGAATAACAGAAATTGTTTCAAGAGGTAAGAGAAACTTCTCTTAAAAATTTTAAAACTTCTGTATATAAAAAACTAAATGACATTATAGACTGCACAATTACTTTATCATTGTTTATTCGATTACGATGTAGTAAAAATAAGAATTAAATTGTTATTTAATATCATCACATGAAACTATAAAGAAAGTGTACTGCCATATCTACAGTGGTCTATAACGAACCTTTCTACGTATATATAGTAACAGACATTAAATTATGTCGATTGGAATCAGCAGGACATATATTCAGATCCAATAATATACTTAACAGAATAATAAGTATGCAGTTCTGGGGAACATTAAATTAAATGAGGAATACGACAGATGATAGATACATCTATCTCTATGACTGAGATACACATATGTAGAGGAACTTCTTCGAAATGGAAAGTTGTTTCAGCAACTTCATATAGCTCATTGAACCTGACAGAAAACCTTATCAGGTGCAATGCAAGCATATGTATATAGTTCTTTACACAGTTGAATATGTTAGCGACGTATAATGTAAGTCCACCGAATGCTCTATATAAGAGCAACAAATGATATGCATGTTTCAAATTATAACTTTTTCAGTGAAATATAAAAATGATAATATAAACCCAACAAAAGACTATTAATATATTGCATTATATATATTCAAATACTTAAATTTAAAAAGAAAATTGTAGTTGGTGTTGTAGTTCTATGATCCACCGGATCATAGAAAACAAACACTTCAATGTGCTTCAACAATAAATGATAGAATATTATTAGGAGAGGGTTATATAGTGTAAAGTAGTACAAAAAATATAGAAATCGGTTGGAATAATTGAAGATAGCCTAAGTACAGGTAGAAAAACCTTACCATGTCAATGCAGCGAAGCCATAAAACTATGATTATTATTATTAAAGGTTTGATGTAAAATCGCCCAGCAGCCAGCACTACGACCAGAAGAGTCCTATTGTTATGATAGCCAGATCAGTATGTATGATGGGGCAATTATAAGTGTGGCATCATAGAACTAGAGCTGCAGTTGGGACACATCTTAAGAATTGCCGAGTTCATAATAATCGTGACGTTTGCTGTACTCTAACTTTTTTCTAGCATTACAAAAAGTCTTTTTGACTTACTTTTATTTCGAGCGGTGACACTCAGACAGAAGTAGTAAACCACATTTTGTCCTTATTACTGAGTCATATGGAGAAGCAAACACTGCTGCTCCTGTTATCACAGAATTAGTAAGTATAGTACTAATTATACTTATGATTATAAGTAAGGCAATTTATAGGCCTTTTGCTCATAAGTTGTTTGTTGTGGTCCCAATTTTAAGAGACCACAGTAGGAATCACAATAAGTAGCATTATGTTTTAATGATGAATTACTTATAATATCTTTTTCTGTTATCTTCTTTATGCGATGAATATTATCTAATAATCTAATAATATTAGATAATAATTATCTAATAATAGATCTCATCTATCTCAATAAATGGTAACAAGCATGCAAAACGATTTTATCCCTAATCTGCATTTTTCATTTATTTCGAAAATATATTATCTCCCTATTTATTTAATAACAAAATGAATGACGTATCAGTAGCGGCTGGATCTACGTCGTAGAAGAACCCATCTAGACAGACCATCAAGTGGTGTTCACAATTTTGAATAGGAATAACAACCGATCAAACTATAATAGCTACAATATACCTAAACTATAATTACAATTTAGTTGGTTATCTACAATAGCCAGTATTTCGAGCAACGAGTTCGGTACCCAGTATAGCCCAAAACAAATAAGATAAGTGAGAGAAGTATAGCCCGAAACAAATTACTGATACAAATACATAGGCTAAGACATGGATTGGATGAGATAGAGTGAGCAGAGGAAGGCTTGTTTCAGATATGGAATAAGCAAGAAACCGCTAACCCACGCCCCAAAGCTACAGTTGCTGTTGTAACCCACCGGAATCAGCTTCTGTTGAACGGCACTTGATCGTCTGAACCAACGAGTGGCTCCGGGACATCGACCCGTCCGTTCTTGGAACCTCTTCGAAGCTACTCGTCAATCACGATGACAAGGCACTAATCACCTCTTGTAATATAACATATAGCCGTAGGTACATGGATGAGGAATGAGTGGGATTTTAAGCGAAACTAGCCTTGCTACTTCAATGGGGCCAAGCCAAAGATCTATAGGGCTGAAATTGGGATGTGCATTTAAACATGACAACAGATAGGAAACATCATAGGAAATGAAGCCACAGTTGGCGTACATATGGAAATAAATCTATTTATTCATTTGTTTAGCACATGGCTATACTCTGACCTCACGTGGGATAGAAGACTGTTGACAACTTTGTTACTATGCAAATATGCCCTTGAGAAAGACACTGCAACTGTGTGAAGAGCTGTGTTGTGTTAGATACCAAGAAAAAGTTCAACGAATGCTGCGTGAAGACAATTCTTTACTCATCATATCGTAATTGGAATATCCACCTGTTTCTCAATTATCGATCGATCTGGTTACTTGTGAGATCATGAATACCGCTATATATTATATTGCATAAATAGTATCTAAAATCCTATAGAACATGTTTTTACTAAAATTAAACAGCTTTAATCTGAATATTGTGAACACACAATATATTACATACATTTTAGTTTATAAAAAAAACGTATGTTAAATAATTTATATTCAAAAATTTAATTCAATATAAATTCGCCTAAGCATAATTTATAAAAATATATTTATATTATATTTATATTAATTATTATAAGACATACAATGTTAGGCTATAATAAAGCAGCAGTAACAGACGCCTTCAGCTAAAATATATTTATACGTATTTGCAATTATAAAGTCACACATCTATATTTAATATTTAATGTGTTATGGATTTGGCAGCAAGTATGGGAATATACTCTTATGTGGGTCACTTTATACAAGCAATTTTATCTTATCTCAATTAAAATTTTAATCTTTATGGTTTAAACACTTCGTTAAAGAATTTAATCAGAATTTTCCTCAAAGAACATCTGTAATAAATCGCTTTTTCCACATTGTTCACCATCAAGGCGTTCAACACGTTTCCAACGCAGAAGTGTTGGAATGACCATAAGTTTTATATCATTGTCCAGACGAAATGGATTCTTCATATCCTTCCAACTATAATACAAAATACAAATTTGTTTAATTTTTGACTTTCAAATCAATTCGAATTTCATTACAATTCACGATTACCGACGTCGACTTCTACAAACACAGATTCAGCTTCAGCGAATTGCAAGGCCTTTTTCACCTCTGGTTCCGCTGCAGGAAAAACAGATAAAAATTAGTACAAAAATAAACTTAAAAGTTTTTAAGAGCATTTACCATCGTTGCAATCAGGGCACCAACTTACTCCATCCATTTTTTCACCTGTGAAATAAATATTTATCTGTGTTTTGGAATTTTTGGATAAGTCTTCTACTGTTTTGCGGAAGTCTTCATAGCCGGCTACTTTGATTTGTTCCGGCTTTGATATTACATCGCCTTCCGTCGTATTTATAGCATCATTTTCTTTGGCATCGTTTGTTACTTCAATTGTATCCGGCATTATATACTTAGACAAGATTAAATAATTAAACGTAAATGAATTGCATTTACAGCAGAAATAATCGCAACCACTTTGTTGTCCACCGACTGCTTTGTGTTTCATTTATCAGCTGGTGCTATCGAAAAGTGCTGCCAATACATTTTTCCAACATTGAATTTTTAAATGCAGTGATACACTGATAAAAATATTTGGTAGAATTAAATATTATAATTTAGACTTAGCCAGTTCACCAACTTTAACAAATTTTAACTATTCACAATTTATAACGTCAAGTCCCATAATTTACTTATTCCCAATTAAGTGATAAGGAAATAATTGAAATTGAAATATTTAAATAAAATAAAAAATTAAAAATAGCAAATGTTGTATAACATATATACGCAGGACAAAGAAATTCCAGTTTTGAAATTTACAAAAACAATTTCTTTGTGTTTTATGCCGAACTCTGCTTTATAGTATAGCTTGCAAACAAAATGTGCACACATGATGTTTCTATCTAGCGATTTAACACTTTAGCAATTTAACTCGAATTTAGCATAATGCATAAAAATGTTAACATAAGTTACATGTTTACACTTATAACTGTCAAATTTTTATTTGACAAAATGATTCTACAATGACTAAAATTGAGTCCGTATTCCTTTAGTCACAGGATCACATTGCATATAGTTCAATGCTGAACATATCCGGTGTTTCTTACTATTAAAAAGAATTTATAAGAATAATATGCTCCATGCCATGTTTGTTACTTAATTTCTTAAACTTCTATTTGTATTAACAAATAATAAAACCAAGAAAATATCAAGAAAATAGTTTTGTTTTGTCGTTATTTACTTTTAAAATCAAATAAAACCAACTCTTCTTATATGTTTGTATATTTTTATTAATATTATTGAAGAATATAGTTCAGTTATATATATTATTGGCACTAATTAATCAAATTAATAGAATATTTGTAATATATACGTTATTGTCATTTATTGACTACAAAAGATAAAAAAGAATAATAAAACACTTCAAAGTTTCTATTGAAACGGCAGCTTCCAAATAGGAACTTTTTAAGCTAGAGAAGTTTATTTTAAACAATAAGAACTGATATATTTTTGTAGTATCTCAAAGATTAAATTAAAAACTGAATAACAATTAGTTTGAAACCATTTTTCTTACTACCAACTTAATTAATGAATCATAACATAACAATTATTTAGTTTTGCTAATAATTATTGTATCGCAAATATTTTAACAAAATTTTAAAAATTTAAAAAAAACGAGCACAATGCAATCTCTCCATTACAACACATAATACATAACAACAACAACACATAAGAAAATAATATATCACAAAAAATATATATATATATTATATATATTATATAACATGTATCGGAACATAACAACTAAATCAATATATAAATTTTATTATATCTTGCACCATTTTTACATTAAGACTGAAAAGTTTTCGGAAATTCTCATTTAAAATTCGCGCGCTGTATATTTTTCGATATTTTAAGTTTATGTAGTTTGGCAGCACTGTCCTTAATTACTATGCCAAAAATGAGCTCGATCTGTCAGACAGTTCGTTTACGGCAGCTGTTGAAACCAGTTCACCTCAGTAGTGCGTTGCGAAATGTCTTCGACGGTCGTACGACCGTCCTGGAAGGCTTTGTACCACTCATAAACTTGAGTTTTCGATAAAACTGATTCCCCATAAGCCTTTTGTAGCATTCGCAACGATTCTGCACACGAAATTTCGTTCGAAACACAAAATTTGATGCAAACTCTTTGTTCAATATTTTTTTCCATTGTTTTTTTCGCAACGCCCTACTGAGGTGAACTGGTTTCAACAGCTGCCGTAAACGAACTGTCTGACAGATCGCGCTCATTTTTGGCATAGTAATTGTCCTTAATTGCTGCCAAACTACATAAACTTAAAATATCGAAAAATATACAGCGCGCGAATTTTAAATGAGAATTTCCGAAAACTTTTCGGTCTTAATGTACTCTATTGGAGACCTATGTTGGAGACGTAGCATTGTACTCGGAGCACAAATATTTAAATATTCTTTTTATGCGTTCTGTGTAATAAGAACCATTATTTTATTATAATAATAATTATATATTCTACTATTAAATATTATAAAAATATTTATATATTTTATTCTTAAATTTATATATTTTTTTCCATTAAATTTCCTACATTTTATTCCTTTATATTTTTGAAGGAACTCATATCATATTGCACCCTTTTACAGTGGTTAGTCCCAATTATTATTGGAACTTAAAAAACTGATATTATATTATTGACGTATACACAAATAAAATAATTTTTTTTTCTTTTCTATTATTAAATCTATTTGAAATAGTTATATAGTTTTGAATGTTTTATCAACATTTATTAAACCTTCTTACACAGTAGAAAGGAAGGCTGCTTTTTGTAATCAGTACGAGGTCTCAGTATATATAATAAAATAAAACATAAACTATGAAATTATGAGAACTTATGATTAAACGATGAAAAAATTGAAAACAAATATACATGTGTTGTTCTAAATTAAGTTTATCTTGATTATGAAGTTATTGAACGAAAGAAAAAAATGCCAGCTAACTGCACCAAAAAAGAAAAAAAACAGAAAGAATGACTGCACAAAAATATTATACATAAAAATTTAAATGTTAATGTATAAAACACCGATGGAAGACATTTTAGGATATCTTTAAGATAATAGCAGCATTAACAAAATAGTTAACTATACCGGTAAATAAGAATCCTACCTGTTGATCTATTAAGATTGTAAGAAAAAATAGTTTAGATTTAAAACTACATTTTGTGTAGTCTCTTAAAGGGATCTGGGTTCACTACAGGTCAACTGTAAATCTTTCAAATTAAGAAAACATTCTAAGATATTGTTATCTACTTAGTAAAGTTAAAGTTGTTGATAAACTATTCGATATGTCACTAATCCGGCGTTACCTTCTTTCAATAGTCTGTCTAAAGAGACTATGTTTTTTGCTTCTACTTAGAATCAAATTAAGCCTCTAAGCATATTACTTGCCAATGTCTAGTTGCTAAAAAGAAATCACTAGTGCGGATATCCTCATCTCCGTCAGTTATTTGAAAATCCGCAAAAGTTTCGCATTTACTCGGAGAATTGTGTGTGTTAGGGTCGGTAAGTAGCACAAAATATCTGCCACTGTCCGAATGATCTGCTCCGTTCAGAGTCAGTAGCCTATTTGCGGCTACTTTATTCCATAAACTATAAAATTTAGTTACAGATTAAAATTTTAAAAGTTTAACGTCTGGAATTTACAATTTGCTAATTACAGAAAACCAGAATGCTTTCTATGATAAGCTTAGACAAGTGAGACAAACGTGTATTTTGAGAAAAATGAATTACCACTCTATAGTGCCACTCTTTTTATTTTATTAGAATACAAACAATTGTAGATACTAAGCTGTTTCCAGCTGTTCGATACTCTAATCTTAAAAATGGTTCAGTAGGACCTACCATTCAGGAGCCTGTCCTATAAAAATGATCTTAGGTTTGCTTGTTTAACTTCTTAGTTCCAAAAAGATTACATTATATAACATTGGGGGCTATTGTAAAGAAGTAGCCTTTAAAACTAAGATTGAAAATTATCAAACTACAACCGACGTACCGTGAAGTCCCTGCCTGTATTTGTATAATATTGTTTCTTCTTATTATTTTTTACGTAGTTTTCGAATTATGAACCTTAAATACGTTTAATAAGGGTCTATCCAGAATAATCTCTAAACATTATGACCTAATGAACTAATAGACAATTAATAAATATTTCAACATGTTGAAACATGAATGTTATTAGATTAGTTTTTCCTCTTATCAACTATAAATTGCTTGCTTCCTTAGTTGGGAAGTTGAATACAACATCATCTTTCCAACTGGAGTACTTCCATCCTTTCTCATGACATGACCAGTTCAGCAATGCTGCTTAATTATAATGCGCTAATTATGTCAATGGAATAGTAATTCATATAACTTGAGAAATTACTCACAAAAATAATTCTTTGATAACGGGGAGTTACATTCTCATGAAATCGGAGTTATCCACCTATTAGATTATTATATTATGCCATATAATATATATTATGAGATTATTATATTAGATATCATTATAATGCGATTCTTTGACATCTACTATGTAATTTTAGATGCATCAAAATGAGCTAAAAAATCTTTTTTGTTATCTCTGTGAAAAGTCTACTAATCTCATCTAACCCATAAAATAGTATAATTACCGCACGTCAACTGAGTTATTCCTTTTTTTTTGTAATTATATTTATATTTATATAATTATAATTATATTTTGTAATTATTTTCATTTTTGCCATTATTTATTTGAAAGTAATATAATCTTATTAGGGCAAAGCCAATATTTCGAAACATTGTAGTTCAATTCGATTCAGTATGTCTCGTCTTGTAATCCTTACATGTTATCTGCTTTTCAGTTCCCGGCGGGCTACAACAACAACAATCAGTATGTCTGCTGTTTAGTTTATTCTGAGATCATATTTAAAAATATCTGAGCTCTTTATAAGCCCAATGATTTTATCATCCAAGAACTGTTTGAATAGAGTAATGCCCCAATATATTTATATAGGATTGTTTCTACAAAATTGTTAATATATAATGTTGAGGAACACAATGGACCTATCATCTATTGTATTGCAAAGAAACATTCTGATTATAAGGGAATAAGACTTGCTATTACTATCACTACTAGGTTATACTAGATATCTTAAAGATCGAGTTAGGCCCATTGCCCTATTGTGGTAACTTTACTATTATTTAATGAAAAAAAAAAATGTAAATATAATATTTAAATGTTATGAAATTAAATTAAAAAGCGATTGACCTTTCTTCCACTGCGCTTACAAAATTCTCTTCAGTTTTTGCGGAACAGACATTTTTATTGCATCGGCGCTTGTGAAGTTCAAGTGCAGCAGAAATTGGGTCAAGAATATCGCGAGTGCACTTAAATGTTTCTTTCAACTTGAAAATTGTATAAAACAAAAGACAAACTTCACATTTCAGACATTCAAGAGAACAAGAAGAACAAGAAGAACACAATGGGTACATGATGAGTTCGAGCACAAAATTCTCACTTTTAATTAAATGCTTTTGTTTACAGTTTATTTGAAAGGATTATTTGCCAGAAGGACGACGACTGCTTTGCTGTTTATTGCAATCATTGCGAGTGTGGAGTGTGGTCCCACAAAAATTGCATATAAGAAACCAATTTATGGAAAAACAAATATTATTAAAGAAAAGCGTATAAAAGCTAAAGTGGAGGAACCAAAAACCACAACTTACAAAGCAAATGTAATCACAGCAACCAAACTCAGCACAGAGCAATTGGAAGTTACCACGTTACCATATGCGGTTGCAACAAATTTAACAACTGCAACTGCACACATACAAACGGTACCAAATTTAGAAGCTACTGGACCAACATTAACAACAGAAGCACCTAGCAGCACCGCAGTAGTAGACACCACAGAGCAAAGAGGAACAACGGAGCAAATTGGAATAACAACACAGAAAGAAATGCCAGCAATAACGACAGCCAAGCACTTCTTTGGAAGTCAAAACCAGGATTCTGTACAAAGTCTGGAAAAAACTAGTGAATCTGCAGCTACGGCATCTAGCACAAGTAGAACAAGCACAAGCACAAGCACAAGTACAACGGAGAATAACCGAATAGTGCCGTGCACATGTGGTATTTTCCTCTCCTCACAGATTAAGCAAGGCAGCAGTGAAAAACCAACTGGTAAACCAGCCATAAGTAACGAACTGGATCGGAATTATCCTTGCAATGCCATCGGTCAGAAACAATGCCAAACCAAGTGCCTAGAAAATGTAAGTATCTAATACAATGTGAAGGAAAAACTATTCCAATGCAATTCAAACATTCATACCCAATTCACACAATTACAGATTGTAAAGCATCTGCCTAACTCCGCGGCCATATTGTGTGCATCTTTAGATAGAGACATACGCAAGGAGCGTGCCTACTTGTATGTTAAGAACTGCAACAACAACTGGTGGAATACTACATTAGCAGCTGGACGAGAATATTGTTGTAAGAACGGTACACCGTACACGTGCCCAATGGTCTAAGCGCTACGTTTTAGGAAGAACTGCTGGATTTGTTAGAACGAAAATTGTAAATAAAAACCAAAGTCTTTGTAAATAAAGTTAAAAATTAAAATGATCAAATTTATATTTATTTTCTATTAATGAATGAAAAACATTAACAAATGAAAAAAAAATAAAATCAAACAATTAAAAATAATGGTAATATACTACGAGTAAAATTAAATTATATTAAATGCTTTTAATACTTCGACATCATAAATGAATGGATCATACGCAAATGATAATATTCTTCTCATTCGAAAAATTTCTTTTTCACCGACGTTGATTCGAATGTTATGGTTGATAATCTGAAAAAATTAAATGATAAGTGAATAAGTGAATAAGTGAGACCAATGAAATAAATTAAATAATAACTGAAATTAATACAATACAAATGTATGATTTGTTAAATAAAACTGTTATGTATAAAATAAAATGATTCTGAACCCAGAAACCAACAGAAACCGACTGATGTACCGAGATGTACCAAAAAAAGCTTAGAATGTGATTGTTTGAATCTGTCTAAACAAATAACAGCGTTAAGTGCGAGTTGAGATTTACAAAAATAAGATACGCACGATTTAGAAAACATTTATTTATAACGTAGATATAACAAAATACTAAAATACTGGTAGCAGACGCCTTTGACTGTTGGAATATCTTTATTACGATGCTTGGAACTTAATTAAAACTTATAATAGATAAATTAAGAGTAGATAACTTAAGGTTAGATAATGTTGGTATTACAAGCTTTAGGATAGGTAGCTTTAGGATAGATAGCTTAAGGATAGAATGGTTGGATTAGAGTAGCGGCCTTCTACACCTAAGCCCACTGGAACTTAAATAATGGCGCATTGTGATACTACGACACATTAAAGATAGATTAAATTGAAGATGTCGAAAATTAAATTTTTTAAATGAGAAATCAAATTTCAAAAATAAAAATGCATTTTAATATTTAATTATGTGAAAGAGACAGAGAGGAATAGAGAGAGAGGAAGAGAGAGTGAGGAAGAGAGAGAGAGGAAGAGAGAGAGAGGAAGAGAGAGAGAGGAAGAGAGAGAGAGAGGAAGAGAGAGAGAGAGAGGAAGAGAGAGAGAGGAAGAGAGAGAGAGGAAGAGAGAGAAGAGAAAGAGGAGAGAGAGAGGAGAGAGAAAGAGGAGAGAGAGAGAAAGAGGAGAGAGAGAGAAAGAGGAGAGAGAGAGAAAGAGGAGAGAGAGAGAGAGAGAGAGAGGAGAGAGAGCAGAGAGCAAGAGGAGAGAAGAAGAGAGCAAGAGGGCAGAGGAGAGAGAGAAAGAGGAGAGAGAGAAAGAGGAGAGAGAGAGGAGAGAGAGAGGAGAGAGAGAAAGAGGAGAGAGAGAGGAGAGAGAGAAAGAGGAGAGAGAGAGGAGAGAGAGAAAGAGGAGGGAGAGAGGAGAGAGAAAGAGGAGAGAGAGAGAAAGAGGAGAGAGAGTAGAGAAAAAGAGGAGAGAGAGAGAAGAGAGAAAGAGGAGCAGAGAGCAAGAGGAGAGAAGAAGAGAGCAAGAGGGCAGGAGAGAAGAAGAGAGCAAGAGGGCAGAGAGAAGAGAGAAAGAGGAGAGAGAGTAGAGAAAAAGAGGAGAGAGAGAGAAGAGAGAAAGAGGAGAGAGAGAAGAGAGAAAGAGGAGAGAGAAGAGAGAAAGAGGAGAGAGAGAAGAGAGAAAGAGGAGAGAGAGAAGAGAGAAAGAGAAGAGAGAGAGAGAAAGAGGAGAGAGAGAGAAAGAGGAGAGAGAGAGAGAGAGAGAGAGGAGAGAGAGCAGAGAGCAAGAGGAGAGAAGAAGAGAGCAAGAGGGCAGAGGAGAGAGAGAAAGAGGAGAGAGAGAAAGAGGAGAGAGAGAGGAGAGAGAGAGGAGAGAGAGAAAGAGGAGAGAGAGAGGAGAGAGAGAAAGAGGAGAGAGAGAGGAGAGAGAGAAAGAGGAGGGAGAGAGGAGAGAGAAAGAGGAGAGAGAGAGAAAGAGGAGAGAGAGTAGAGAAAAAGAGGAGAGAGAGAGAAGAGAGAAAGAGGAAGCAGAGAGAGGAAGAGAGAGAGAGGAAAAAAAGAAGAGAGAGAGAGAGTGAGATTGTAGAAAAAGTATTCATTCAATGTTACTAAAAAGACCACTCAAACACAATGCTTATATGCAAAAATGTAGAAGAGAGAGAGAGGAAGAGAGAGAGAGAGTGAGATTGTAGAAAAAGTATTCATTCAATGTTACTAAAAAGACCACTCAAACACAATGCTTATATGCAAAATGTTGTGAGACAACGTAGAGAAGGAATAAAAAAAACTAAAAAAAAAAACGACAATTCGTTTAGATCCCTCATCGCACGCAACGCTATTATCTCTCTAGCCAGGATATATGTAAAAACAATTTTTATGAATTGAGAGAGTAGTAAATGCTAATTTTCAGCAAAAATTTATTCTAAAAATGACAAGTGTAACTTCAAAAAGTAACAGTATTGTACCAGGTTTACACTTAAATTTATCGAACCTTTCTATTATATCTTCATATGGATTTTGAAAGAAAAAAAGCATATATTGCTTTATTTTTGTCGAGTCAGTTATAGACAATTTTACAACGTTCACTTAAGGGCCGATTTGACATTTAATAGATTTTTGCAGTTTTAATTGACATTTAAAGGTTACTTGTCAATCAAATAATTCTCTTTCAACCTAATCTATAAAATAATTTATCGTTTTTGGCTTTAGAGGTAAGCATAAAACAGCTTTAAATTGAAATTATATTATGATCATTCTATGATTTTACTAGCATTGCCATATTTTTCATAATTATAATCTTCCTTTAAGTATTTACGACCTGCAATAAAACGCATACTACACTTAACTTAAGGGAACCTTAAACGTGCATTGTAAAACTTATTCTTAGATTCCTTCTGCAAGACACATGAAGCCCAATAAAGTAGAGATTCATAAACAATAACAGAAATTCATTTACATTAAAATATAAAAGTTACACCAACGCTGCTAAGTTAGAAACAACATCGTAATCATTTTTAATTGTTTTACATACAGATTTAAAATTAACTTATTATACCTCGCTATCTTTGGTGTGATGAATGTTGCATTACTTCCTACATTACTGTCTGCTGATGGAGAATTATTCTTGATAACTTCACTTGATATTACTTGTTCTTGTTCAGGTGTCTCTATTATTACATTATCACTCATTTCATTTTCATCATTTGAATCAGTTTTGGAAAATTTTCCATTAAGGCATGTTAGACTACACCCGCAATTTAACGTGCATTTCTTAGTGTTCGAATAACATCCGCAACGCTTGTTGATGCATTTACCACGACACTTACAGCCTTTCTCTCTCCGTTTGTTACCTGTTCCGTTGGCGTTGTTGGCGTTGTTGGCGCCAATGTTTTCGGACCCGTTGCTCGTAACAGCATGCGTTTCGTCCATTGAATGGGACGAAGTATCTGATTTATTTCGAAAAGTCTATAATTCAATTTAGTGACAAAATACCAAAACCCGAAAATATATATTTACCGTTGATCGTTTATTTGGTCGTCGAAACCTTGGCGTTTTTATCCAATCTGGATCAGTTTTACTTGAAGTGTTCATTTCATCTTCTTCTTCTTCACTAGACATTAGCTCTTCAATATCATCTTCAAGTATGGGCTGTGTATTAAATAAATAAAATATATTTATAGCACATATTTTTAAAATTATGATATTTCATATAAAAAAAACTTTACCTCAGTTAGTTGCTTTTTCTTTTGTAACTCTTCTTCTTGTTTTTTATAAGATTCTATTACTTCTTTCATTTCATCTATTTTATCGAAATATTCTTCCTGAATCTTTTTCGTTTCAGCAGAGTTATTTTCAGTGGATTGAGTACTGTGCAACTGCCGCAGCAACACAGAAATCCTCTCTTCATACATACTCTCCCGACTGTTCATCATTTGCTCATGTTCAACTTCCATTGTGCGCATACGTTTCATAACCCCGTTGCAGCGTTCATCGACAGTTTCAATTGTGTTACGTAGTTCATCCATTGCAGTTTTTTGTTCCTGAGAGCGATTAGCATGTTCTCGTCGCATATCAGAAACAGATTTTATCAGATGTTTAATGACCATACGCGCTTCACTAATACTGTACAAGCCGTCACAAAACGTACGTACGCGTGTCTCAAAATCAGCAGCACAAACTTTTTGCTGCATTTCTGTTATTTGCGCATTACGGAGCTCTAACTCAAGCTCCAAGTTAGCAAGCTCTTGTGCTTCAGGTGTACCTACAATTACCGGCTGTTCTTTCAAATCTCGGATACGATTACTAATAATAGCGCGGTCATCCATTAAATTGTCCAAGGAATGTTCAGCGTCAATTAAGGATACGAATATTTCTAATTCACGCTCTACAAATGCTAATACATTATCATTCATGGGTGCAGAGGTTGTGTTCTTTCCACTTTGTCGCATCGATTGAGCATGTTGTTGCTTTTCTAACACTTCCTTCAACCTGTTGAATATATAGTAAATTGTTTATAAATATATTATCTAGAAAGAATTCAAAAAATATATATTATTATTTTAACCAGTAAATATAAGTCCTTAAGAGCAGTATATTTGAAAGGATTACAACACGTTTACAAGAAAAGGGAAGAAGAGTATTTCTTTCGAATGGGACGTCCAACTACTCATCTACTCACACTACGTAGTGCCACTTATGACTCTGAAGAAGTACGAGTTTTTCGCGTTCAACTACCCACATCTAACCCATGTATACGAATTCGTAATTCCTTTCATCATGCTATCTGCACTATAGATCTCCGTAGGTTACTACACGAACAACAATTATTTGCATTATATAGTTACCTTTTGTTATTCGCCATGGCCTCCTCAAACTTGCGTTTTAATACGTTACGTTGTTTCAAATGAAGCTCTTCTTTACGCTTCATCTCCATATTTTTTTTAAGATCTTTGTTTTTCAGCTGTATAAGCTCTTTCTCGCGCGTAAACTTCCATTGGCGGAATTGGTCTGACTCTTGCCGCATAGTGCGTATCAACTTCACCCTCGACTCTTTCATAAGCCTAATGTCATTATTTAGATTTTTAATCATAAGTGTATCTTTCTCCCGAAGTTTCAACATTTTGGTTTGTTGTTTAAGCTGCGAACGGACTTTAGTTAATTCTGCCTCCAATACTTGTAAACGCTTGCGACGTTCCTCCGCTAGTTTAGCAGACGCATCTTTTTTGGTGGTCTGTAACTTATCTAACAAGTCCTGCTTTTCAATTTCTAGTTCATTTATTTTACACTCATATTCAATCAGTTTCTCAGGATTTTCCTCAACAACTGAGAACTTGTTCAGACTGCCCGCAACACGTTGGTGAAGTTCCTCCTTGATGTTAAGTGCTCTTTCAATTTGTCGCAATTGCTCTTTTAAATTTATTTGCTTATTAGTAAAGGCGTCTTCTTCTTCTTGCATCAATATATCTGTACTTTCTGACATATTTTCATCGTCCACAGATCTATTACCCAGTGGACTCTTGTTTCTCTCTAATTCTAGTTTTGTATGATCAAGTTCCTCATCGAGATTATCAATTAATTTTTTCATTTCAGCTACAGATTCTATTAATGTTGGTATTTTTTCTGGTGAGGAATCAATTTTGAATTCCTCTTCTAAATTCATTATAATTTTCCTTAGTTGCACCGTTGTGTCTTTTAATTTCTCATGTGCCACTTCAGCAATATGCGCACGCATCTCATTATCTGCAACATCATGTAAAGTCGCCTGTAATTTTTGTTGCAAGTAACGATTTTTCTCCTGAAGTTCAAGATATTTTTTGCTGTGTATTTCATGAAAATTATTGTAGTCAGCAGGGTTGGAATCAATTACTGGCACAGCGCCTTGTACATCGACTTTTAGTGAAGCGGACATATTGCCACCCACAGCTAACAGCTCCATCCGCAACTTTTGTATTATGCCCTTGAGTATACTAACCTCCATGGCGTGTGGATCTTGATTTATGATTGGTTTATTCTTAATCTGGCGAGCACGATCTGCATATCGTAACGTGCTTAATGTTTCCGCAACATTATAATCAGCTGGACTGACACAGGCGATCATCAATGTTACAGAGTTTCCGCCCAAGGAATCTTGTAGTAAGCGAGTTAACTTCGAGTCGCGATAACGAACATGACCAGCACCTTGACCAGCTGTAAGAAAAGAATACATTGCATTATTTCAAATAATATATTTTAATTTATTACACATAAAAATATTAATCTTTTTTATCAGAAACTTATTTGATTTGATTTGAAGAAATTTGTATATTATACTTATATACGATAAGTAAGATTAAGTTGAAGTGGGGGCTTGGTACACCAAAACCTACTGAGTTCTATATTTATACAAATTAATAGTCATAATATATAATTTTAATTTAACATAGTTGGTTCTAGGCATTCTGATACAAAAATCAGGCATTATCTGCCACAACTGACACTGATGCGCAAATGAAGGAAACACACCTTATATCGGTTGAAGATATTAGACTAGATTAAGTAGGTTTGATGCTATAACTTATTTAGTAAATAGGTTTCATAAAGAGGTTTTTTTTCGATTAGTAGTGAACTACAACAACAAAAATTTTATTTTTTATATTTTAATTAATTGAATTTTTGGCTGATCATACAGCTGTTTCGAGTATTGTCAAATACCCGTCATCAGTGGTCTTGGAAATAATTCTTGTATTTAATTATTCGTAAATAATTATTTTTAAGACTGCAAGTACTAGGTTTCAGAAAAATCTAGGTCGTAGTCGTAGAATTCTCCAACTTAATAATAATAAACATAAACCACTTTTGTTTCAGCTCAATTTAATAGTTAAAATGAAAAAGTCGTCAAATTATAGATACGATTACTGTTGTTTTATATCAACTATAATGTTGTAAGGAATATATAGGGATAAACCTATCTTTTTCCCAACGAGTAGTGCTGTATCTGATCAGTTCATCGGGTGTACAGTTTTCAACAATCTTAATGTGGCTTAGATAAATAAACTTTAGTTAATTGCTTTTTCCATTGAGAAACGATTAGGACGACGATAAGCTTGCTTTCTCTTCGTGAAAGTACAGACATTGCTTTTAGCATATATAGATTCAAGGAGGATTTCCTCAGTGACAAGTAAGTGGTATAAAACGAACACAAAAATAATTTTTTTTAAAAAGAAAGATCAAACACCTTTTCATATAGAACATGGAACATATGTATTATTAAACGTTGACATCATACCCACATTAAATACGTAATTTTATAAAATATTTAAAAATTTTTATATTTAAATATTTTAATAATTACTTAAAGCAAATATAATAATTTGTGTATTTGTATTTAATGAATCTGCGTAAAAGCAAAACGTGTGAGGTAAATGAAGAATGTAGATTAGTTAAAAAGATTGTCAATTAAAAAAGACGTTATTTTTAAATTAATATTTAACTTCTTGGTTATTTTTATATATTTTGTTTTTATGTATTTGTTTTTGATTTACGTGCAAACAAAAACGTAGATATTTGTTAGAAAAGTAGATTTATAAAAACTGAAATTTAATTATTTAAATATTGAAACTATGAGATTTCTTGCAATTTAAAATAAAAACACTTAATACAACAATTGAAGAGATATTATACAAGGTCTTTAAGCAAGTCGTAGCTAAATTGTTGTTATATATTCGGTTTATAAACAATTTCCATAATATGCACATATTCACATATATTATAATTTGCTAAGACCTATACCTATATATGATATGATTTCTCGGTATTTACAATAACAAAATAATGATAGATAGATACTGTATGTTAATTACTTGGATGTTTCCTTACACTTTTATTTCATTAATTTTATTTTTTTTTGTTTTACTCATAAAACCTGATTTTAGGGATCTATTCACATTTTATGGATCAAATCTAACACAAACAACTAATTCTATCAATTATTGTAAACATTTCAGATTCAACTGTTTAATTTATTTTAGATTCAAGCATTTACTCACTCGAAACCAATTCGTTTACTTAAATCTCATAACGTTTACACATATTATCTAGTATCTCTAACTTTAGTTTGGATGGTACGTCGTGTAATAACTGGGTTAAAAAAATATTCACCTAGTGAAGAGGTCAAAAATATACCACAAGCTACAGAAACTCGTAGATATTTCTATTATATCTATCAATCATATCTATCAATTTGCTCATATGTATCTTTACAAATTATTTTTGGTATTATTATATATTGAGTTTCCGCAAGTAAAGACTTCTCTAGAAATTATTATGGTGAGGGTATAGAGTTAATGATTGAATATTTATTGTGACTTATTTTTTATGATACTTGCACTTAGATACAGCTGTCTTAAATTATAAGTTTTATTATTGAAACCAAATAGTTTCAGCTATGAAGTGGCAAAGATGGAGCTTTCTAAAAATCGTCCCCATAAATAATATCATAATGAGCGTACATGAAGCTTAGTCATTCTAAAATTATACTTAAAAACATATGTAATAAGCCAGTATTTATATAATAGAAAAATTAAATTGATAAACATAAATTCTTATTACTCTTTGTGTACTTAAACAAATTAAACTAACAAATAGACATAAATATACGAGTATATTCAGTTTTTTTTTATGTTTGAAGCAATCATAGAACTTTTGAGTAGTACACACAAAATTTATTTAGACTACAGTTTAAAACTTCTCATAGTAATAAAACAATAAATACTGTTCTGTTTTTCCAGGGTATCCAATATACATATGAATTTTTGTAGTTATTTACATCAAATCCTTACATATGGCCTGATCCACCTGCTTATATAGCCAAAATTAAAACAGTTTAATTACCGCTACGTTATATCCTCTCTTCTTTTTTTTTAACTTTCTTCTTGATTCTTCTTCGTGAGTTAGTGCTATTACGCACTTTTATTCTATAATGACTGGGAGGCTTATCTCTACCTCACACTAGGCTTTAACTAGGCTAAGTCATTTATTTGTCTTTTAGTTGATGACGGAGCTTAAATTAGCATATCTTCCTGAGAGTCCAGAAGTGGACTTGAGGATTGTTAGGGCGGGGTTAAGTAGCGTATCAATTTTAAAGAATAATTGTAGAGCTCTGTCTCTGATATATTTTTTCACTGAGTCAATCCTAAGATCTGTATGTATGTCTGTTGATCTAATATACCATGGAATCTTAAACAGTCTTCTTAAAGCCAGGTTTTGTGCTATCTGTAATTGCTTTATGGTAGTATTTCAGGCTTTGCTATATGTAACACATCTGTACAGTAGAACAATAACAAAATACTTAACTTTAAAATTTTATATTGATGTATTACCTATACGTTTCGATCAATAAACTGTTATGTAGGCTGGCTAGCTCTATATATTGGTACCCAGTATTTTTGTTTGACACACGCCAAAAAAAAATTTATAAAAATCAAACTAATATTTAAACAATTGTCTAATTATGTTCTAGTATTAAATTTGGTACTAATGTCGTATAACTGTTTTATTTAATTATATTTAATATGAAGCAAAAAATCAAAATACCATGAAAAAGCTTAACCCAAGAACGGTACAGAATTGTGACAAGCTCTTACAGAAGTTTGCTTATTACTAGAAACTATTTATAGAGTTTAAAATAATTTATGAATTAGTTAATTTATTAATCAAGTAGTTAATTAATTCTCTTCTGGAAGTGATTAAATGAGCTTTACTACGAAATACTGAAAGCAAAAAACTTAGTCGTATAGGTGTTAAAACCTTTCCGAATACATTTATTTCTTTAGCGGATTTATAACACAAAACAAATGTTTTAATATTTAAATAATATATTTTTTTGTTTAATTTAGCATTTTATATTAACTACAGACAAAAACGTTAGAAAGAATTGAAGTGGTAAGCGTATAAATACCACGAAAATGGCTTGAATTGAAACATAAAGCAGTTAAGATTTGAACAGCAAATATCTAAGACCAAGTTTCAAATTTCTATTCAAAGAAATATCATGAAAGTTACAATTGTGTTTTTGTGTGCCATTTTTGCAACATTTACATTACAAGCATGGGCACAAGAAGTGGATGGAGAAACCGGTGCTGGCGATGGTGGTACGGACACTGCTTCTGGTGGAGGTGATTTTGGTTCCACTAGTGGTAGCGAAACTGGTGAAGGCGGTGGTTCCGGTGGAGGTAGTACCGGTGGAGGTGGTGCAGGTGGTGGTGGTGGTGGTGGTGGAAACAGGCCTAGCGGTGGTAATAGACCAAGTGGTGGTAATAGACCAAACAGGCGACCAACAGGGGGCAATAGAAGACCAAGCAACGGTAATAGACGTCCAAATAGAAGACCAAGTAGTGGTGGCAATAGGCGCCCAAGCTCAAGTAATAGAAGGCCTTCCAATAGCAGAAGACCCAACTCAGGTGGTAATAGAAGGCCAGGCAGAAGACCTAGCGGAGGTAATAGAAGACCACAAAGAGGTTAACATTACTGATATTTCAAAGGCTTTATCAACAGTTCATGTCATTACAATATTCGAAAATTAATAAAATTAACAAGAAATAAAATGTGAAAAAAAATCCAAACTGTTTTCTTAGTTGCTGTTCATCAGAACAAAAAAAAAAAGCAAAGAGGGTTAAACATTTAAAAAAATTGTGCGTTGCTTAGCATTTGAACAAATATTTAAATATTTGATTTATAAAACAGTCAATAATGTACTAAATAAATTTTTAATTAGACTTGCTAATATATAAATACCTAAGAAATCTTCAAATCAGCACAGTCTATTAACAGTTCTAAATTAAAACAACTCTAAATATGAAAATAACAATTTTGTGCTTCATTGCTATTGCTCTGTTCGCGATACTAGCCTCACAGCAGGTATCAGCGCAAAACAATGATGCGCAAACTTCCGGCACTGGTGATGGTTCTAACACAGGCACTTCAAGTACTGGTACTGATACTGGTACTGGCACAAACACAGCTACAACTCGTAGAACTACCCGAAGGACAAGCAGAAGACCCAGCAGCAGCAAAAGACCAAGTAGTAATAGAAAACCCAGCAGCAACAGACGTCCAAGTAGCAACAGAAGACCAAGCAGCAATAGAAGACCAAGTAGCAATAGAAGGCCAAGCAGTAATAGAAGACCCAACAGCAACAGAAGACCAAGCAATAGCAGAAGACCATCAAGAGGCTAATTTAATAATTTAAGAATCTATAGCATGGAACCTCAAATTTGAACCTAAATATATAACTTTATAATTTATCTATAGATCTAATTGATCTGTGCATTGTCTATGGAAATAAAATTCTTATTAAGAATTAAAAAAATTATTGCTTTTATGCTTTGAAACTAAAACTACTTTGTCTGAACAAAATATATCTAATTAATTGGAGATTCTGGGCTACCACCAATATACCTATTAGTATGGAATTAGCTTCATAGAGTTTATGTTTAACTTTGAATATATATAATTATTTTTATTTAATATTTAAAACTTGGAACTTTAGCATTGAAAATTTGTGCAGCCTTAGTTACTTGTGAAAATATACGATTTGTCATGACTTCTAATTTGACAAGCACGAGTTCTAAGCCTGGCACTTGCAGTTCAAACAAATTATATACAGACTGTAAACTAATTTCAAATTAAAATGAATGTGAGATTTTACTCTCTTGTGCAATAATGTCTGAAATTACTTTAAAAATTTGTAATTTTGTAATTTTTACTACAGAAATTATACACATCCTTGATTAGATATTGTTGCATAGTAGAAAAAAATGTGCAATTACATTAGTGAAATTGAAATTATATCTTATAAAAGAAATGATTAGCGTAAATAAGGATATGAACTCTACTTAGTTGTAGAGGGTAAAAGCATTTCAACAATGAAAATATATGCTACTTTGTTGTGTATTCAATAACCATGAGTTATTACAGTATTATAGGGAATTAAATTTTGTGAACAATTTCATAGAAATTATTTATACAGGTATATACTGTTAAATATATCAGCTGTACTTATCCAAGGAAATTATACTCTTCATATCGAAAGAGAATTAGCTAAGGGTCAAGAGTAACATGCTCTTAATATCGAAGCAAAGTAAACCAAGGGTTGATACAATTTCAAACAGATACAATGGAAAATTCTATTTTAACCCAGTCAAGATGCAACAAAACCTCATTGGAGAACAACAACGGTAATAACTTGTATAGATAATGTATAGATAATTTAGAAAAAAAGGCAACTTGCACAACTAAGTTATTAATTATATTGTTAATAAGCAATAACTCTTTTTTTAGATCTATCTCTCAAACTTTTTAGATTTATAACAATCTGCTATATAGATAATTTGCAGAAGACATCTAGTCTTATAAGTGTAAATATCACAACAATAGCAACTACAACCTGCTGTATGTTTAATTCGTAGTTAATATACTGTTAATCTGATCATATCTCACAAATTATGACAAAAATAAACTTATATAAATAATCTGTAGAAACTTTTTTTATTAGACACATCTCTGTATATTAAGAGTTTACTAAAAATATCTATTCTAATAACAATATAAAATTATTATACATAATTTAA